TACTTTATTTTCCAATGACAAAGGCCTGATAACACTCGATAGGCCGCCAAGTGGGGCTGGGTTCCTTCCTTTACCTGGCGTTCTCTCCTAGGGGGGGCCCAGAGGCCTGGCTCCCGGCTCAGCCTCCTCGGGCGGCAAGGGGCCGGCCGGGCCGCCTCTCCGCCTCCCAGCAGGCCCTCCGCCCGTGCCGTCGGCCGCGCCCTCCCCGTGGGGAGGGGAGAGGAGGGGAGAGAGTCCCGGCTCCTGCGGCCCGCCCGTCCCGCTCCTTCCTTCTCCTCCTCTTCCTTCGCCGCCGCATCAGGCGCGCCTGGATGACGTCAGCCGCGAGGACGCCGCTCCTTGGTTTCAACCTGCGCGAAGAGAAGCCCCGCCGCCTAGCGGCTGAATGGGACGAAAGGCGCGTCGCGGGCGGAGGGATTCGGCTTCCTCTTGGTTGCCAAGCAACGGGGAGTCTCTACGTTTCGGCCTCCGCGTTGTGATAAAGTCCCTCAGTCAAGCAGAAGTCAAGGGAGATGGAGCAGTGCTTGCTCTCTGGGGCCCCTCCCACACCTGAATAAAACCCCACATTATCTACTATGAACTGGATTATATGAGTCTACACTGCCCTCTAATCCAGTTCAAAACAACTAATCCGCATTTTATATGGCAGTATAGAATGGGCCTTAGCCCAGGGGTTTCAGGGCCCTTCCAGACAGCCATATAACCCAGAATATCAAGGCACTGGGTTATCTGAGTCCACACTGCCATATAATCCAGTTCAGTGTGGATTTTATACAGCTGTGTGGAAGGGGCCTCAGACACATTCTCATTGAGGGCCCCATCAGCCTGATGGTTGACTTCAGGACAGGAGCAGGATTCAAAACGATCTTGACAGATTAGAGAGATGGGCCAAAACTAACAAAATGAAGTTCAACAGTGACAAATGCAAGATACTCCACTTAGGCTGAAAAAAAATGAAAGGCAAAGATATAGAATGAAGGCAAGGAGGGAGGCAGTACGTGTGAAAAAGATCTTGGAGTCCTCGTGGACAACAAGTTAAACATGAGCCAACAATGTGATGTGGCGGCAAAAAAAGCCAATGGGATTTTGGCCTGCATCAATAGGAGCATAGTGTCTAGATCTAGGGAAGTAATGCTACCCTCTATTCCGCTTTGGTTAGACCACACCTGGAATATTGTGTCCAATTCTGGGCACCACAATTCAAGAGAGATATTGACAAGCTGGAATGTGTCCAGAGGAGGGCGACTAAAATGATCAAGGGTCTGGAGAACAAGCCCTATGAGGAGCGGCTTAAGGAGCTGGGCATGTTTAGCCTGAAGAAGAGAAGGCTGAGAGGAGATGATAGCCATGTATAAATATGTGAGAGGAAGCCACAGGGAGGAGGGAGCAAGCTTGTTTTCTGCTTCCTTAGAGACTAGGACGCGGAACAATGGCTTCAAACTACAAGAAAGGAGATTCCATCTGAACATGAGGAAGAACCTGACTGTGAGAGCCGTTCAGCAGTGGAACTCTCTGCCCCGGAGTGTGGTGGAGGCTCCTTCTTTGGAAGCTTTTAAACAGAGGCTGGATGGCCATCTGTCAGGGGTGATTTGAATGCAATATTCCTGCTTCTTGGCAGGGGGTTGGACTGGATGGCCCATGAGGTCTCTTCCAACCCTTTGATTC